GCAATGATGGTGCCAACTTGGGCCAGTGAAGCAACGTCCTCCACAACTAGACTGAAGACCAAAACGACAGCAACTTATCTGTTCCCCTTCCCCCCTAATTCCCCAATAAAAATCTTAAAATAAGTAAATAAATAAAATGTGTTTTGTGGTTTTAGTAAAAAGAAACAGTAATGGAAAGAGTGTGGAGCCTGAATGCAAGTACATGAATTCAAAAACTAGCTCTGCTACAACTGAGCATGTGACTTGAGATCTCTGAGCCTTAGTATTATCTTATCTAAAATGAGGATATCACCAACCTCACAAAGTTGCTGAAGGATCAAAGTGAAAGCTTTAAGGGACTTTTTACATTATCATGCAACAATCTGATAAGAAGAAATCAGAAGATAAACTAGTCAGTGGTTATAAATAAGGATTCATGAATAAGATATAAAGTAAAGCAGCTAAGTACTGATGGCAGCTTGAAAAAGCAAGAAGACCGTTTCTAGGGCTTTTAACTAGAAAAAACTGAATGCTTTCATTTCAGGCAGTGTATGGACTCAACTTGTTTATTACTAAAAATCAAATGACACTAATGAATTTTAATTTTTTTTGCTGTAGTGATCACATGATTTCCATGGTTTCTTTCCAATAAATGTTCACATGGAATTCCTCCTTTCTATATTCAAAAATAAAAGTTTTGGAAAGCACTTCATTAAAAATGAAAAATCTTAACTCCTGGCAAGATACACCATGTCATAAGTTTACATAAAGTATATCTGAATAAAAATATCAACATATAACAAGGCTTTTCATTTAGTAATTTTCACAATTACTAAAAATCTATTTTATATTTACAAAGATTACCATTACTCACAGGTCTTTCATTAGGATCAATGAAAAATATTTTGATGATTATTTCGAATTCACCCCATCCTGTTTCAGTAATTTCATATGGAGGCTTAGTAACGACTAAAGAAAGAGAGAGAGAAAAAAAACAATTGTAAATTACTAATAGTTTCCTAACTCTTTTTAAATTTGTATATTATGAATCAAAAAACTGTACTGTACCTCTTAAAGGATTACCATAGCTTTCATGTAATTTAAATTGGATTTTCTTCACATATGCTGACATATCCTAAAATACAGAGAAATTAATTAGTTCTGCCCTCTACATAAAAAAACTAGGAGGGAAATACACTGAACATGTGTGCCTAATTTTAGAAAATACACTTCCCCTCAAATATTATGAAATCCAATTTTCTAAAAAACATGAGTTATACCTGAGAGATATAGTACACTTTCAATATTTTTTATAGAAATAACCATATAAAAAAAGCAAATCTAAGAATTACGGGGGCTGGCCAAGTGGCACGTTAGTTAAGAGCTGGCTTGGGACACCAGAGGGCCCCGGTTCAGATCCCACGTATGAGGGCCAGTGACACTGCCCTCTACAGCTAAGATGCTGAACAACAGCTCAACCTGGAGCTGGGCTGC